TGAAGATACTGCTTTCTTCATAATAGATCAATATCTACGTAGTTCACAGCATTGCTTGCTATACTATTGAAACTTTTGACACAAATCTTAACCATAGAGAAAAAGTTCAATATTTATATTTGAAGCAAGGAAAGAAACTTCAAACGGTTATTAACTTTTATTTCATATAGGTTCTATCTTCATAATGAGTGCAAACAAGTAGACATTATCTCTGTATCTAAGTTATCCTAAATCCGATTTTCTTAGTGGTCACTCATGACGTTTAACCACTGAAAATATGTCTTTTTATCCACATGGATCCCAGTTTAACACAAATATGCTAATTCTTGCTTTCCAACAAAAGCACCTTCGAGATGTTGTACGTCTGCACAAAACTTATTTACCAGACTTGGTTGGAAAAAGTAATTTTTCAGCCTTCCATCGTTCTCGGACTCTCTTTCAACCGATACGACTGATTCGGTAGAAACTTTTTCTATTTATTTCAGTAGCCTCAAAACTTCCTGTCGACCAACTTTTCAAATGAGCAGCTAGTTGTGATCGGTGCCCCAGAATGACTAGTCGCTCGCATGCTCGGTTCTATCACTCAACAGACCATCTACTAATTTTTACAATATAACTAATTCAGATCCACTATTGCATGAAATTTGTATTTATAATAGAAGATTTCTCAAGTGGAAATTCCAAACACAACATTTTGTTGTGAAGTACTTCTTATCTCTTGAATTTCACAGTCAATCTCGAAAAACAAAATTTCACCGTAATCCGTCATGAAAGAATTCTTCCTGGAATATTCTTGAGAAACGTTCAAAATCTTATCCAGATCTTTTCCAAAGCCGATCTTCAATGAACCTTTCAGGCCGACGACTAACCGCTCAATTGCCTGACTCTACTTCTCCAATGAATCATACACGTTGATTTACAATCTAACCGTTAAATTTTTTCCTTCCTTCAAAAACTCACTGAATTTATAACAGTAGTCTTGTCGAAGGAAAATTCAATATAGTAAGGCTGTTTTGCGACTAACAATCGATAGAGTATTTGTGTTGACGTCTATGAAATATGATTGTAGACACGTAACTGATAACCTAGAGACGGCAAGTAACCAAACTTCTTATATCTCGTATGACTCTTCCTTCATTTAAACGAGAATTCATTTTTTTTATAAAAACTTCTTTCTCTCTCCTTAAAAACACTCGAACTCAAAATTTCGAAAAACTGATCACGAACTCGGATTCTTCGACCCGATTACCTATATCCAAGCTTTACAAGCAGTTCGTAACTCGTTAATTTGTTTGCACATGACTTGACACGTGATTGCAAACATACATGCAATCAAACAAACATACAAACTCATTTTATTTCATATAACCCTCTCTTCAGTCGAGGGAATAAACTAATTGAATTTTAAGTTTAGGCTAAACTCAACAGTATATTTAAAACAGAGATGAGCACATGACAAGATTTTCTCTCCTGTCCTGTCCTGCTAGCTATCTCGGTCCTGGCGGGCGGCAGGACAAGACGTCACGATTTCTGCCGGTTTTCTACCAATTAAATCCGTTTTCACAGGTTGTAAAATGCCAAGAGTGAGTTTTACTTCTACTTTCATTGTACAAAGCAAACATCACCAATTAATATTTTCTAACTAAT